TTAATTTGCTTGAAAAACTAAAATTTGCTATGTCCAGTAGATGCTTGCGGCATTATTATATTATTTATATTTTATAGTCTTTAATACATAAATAACAAGTATTTTTTCTCAGTTTATTGATTTATTTTCCAAATAACATATATACAAATATTTATTAATTATTTCAATATTAAGGCTTTTAAAAAGACAAAGAAAATTTCATAGTGTCTTCAATATATATGTGTATGTAGACAAAAATTTCTATTAATTGTACTATACATTTGATTCATGACAATGCTGTAATAAAAGTTCAAGCTCTTAGCGCATAAAGTCTTTAATGATTCGCAGCACTTGCTATTTTTATAGGCCAATGAAGCAATAACTGAATACTATAAATAGCCCATATAGTATATTGATCTAAAGTATAACCCAAGTGAAAAAGAAAACATTCACAGAAAATACCAAACAAACTTCTTTGATATTAGTAAATATTGAGAATCGTATCGTCAATTTAACGTATGAATTATGAACGCAAAAGGTCAAAGATTTCATTTTAGATAGAGCATTGGGTGATTCCAACTAATAGTAAATCAATTAAGTTACGGATTGTGGGGAATTGCATTAAATCACTTCCGAGCAATTGACATTTATTTTCGGATCAGTTGTGGCTATATATAAGTACTCATTGTAAATTTATATAAATATCTTGCCACGCAACAAAGACAACGAACGAAGCTAAATCTGCATAAAAGGACAAATTCAAATGGCACGAGTAAAAAAGAGCACAAGAAACATCTATGAAAAAATGCAGTGAGAAATTCAAATACCTAGACAATAAAAAATGCATTCACATGCATCTCTCGGCGCTCTGTGGCTGATTTTGGTAAAATTCAATTAATTGGCATGCAGATGCGCGACGCGGCTATTTCGCAACTTCGTCGGGCCGAACCAATGCTTCCTCGAGAAGCTCTCGCGGATAATAACCTTGATGTTGATTTATAGGTGTCTATGTGCAGTGACGGCGTCTATTTTGGTGCCGTTGCCGTTGCCGTTGCCGTTGCCGTTGCCGTTGCCTCTGCCACGCTGCAGCGGTGCTGCGTGCCTGCGTCCCTGGCTATTGCCCTCCTGCTCTTTCTCTCACTATCGGGCCTGCTCTATCTGCTCAGGGTCCACAATTTGCCAATTGTCTTGCGGCATCAGTCGGTCCTTCTAAGGTTCGTTTCTATTTTTCGAATTGGCAACGAGGTGAAGTATCTTCGTACTAGCTGTGCGGCGCCGCCTGCAACGTGTACCGCAGGCGGAGGCGGGGCAGGGGGATCGACTAATCGAGTGACGTGCTCTCCCGGCCACGCATATTTGCTTATCAGTCATTCGGATAGCTCGCAATCAAATTGCCCTGCAGAGTGCGTCACCGTCTCTCTCTCTCTCTCTCTCTCTCTCTCTCTACAACTCTCTGCATATACCCTACAATTAGCTGCATATTTGGGCTATAGGGCAAAGCAACAATATGATTATTGTCTCTCAGATGATATCAATAATCATAAAATAAATAAAAGTTCAAAGGTTTTTCATGGCGCCTGCATGCAAAGTCAGGTCAAGACTGTAGCGTCTACAGCTGTCGCATATAGCCGAAGGTGGCCGCTCGACAATTGGGAAAACGGCTTATATGGATCGATTCACATTGAATGCGTGGCACCGCTTTCGCTCTACTCAATTTCTCTGTCGCTCTCCCAGCGAATTTCTGCTTGGCTGCCAACTAATTGAGTTCTCAATTCAATTAGGCATTCCCCGATGCGAGAGCCTTCGATATAAAGACAGCAATTGGCCAGCCGCGTGCCATTTGTTGTTGAGTCTAGGAGCCAACAAGAATCGAACGTGCGATTTTAATTTTCATCTACTCCTTTCGTTGGCCTAAAAGGTGTGTGTACTCTGTGTGCAGTGTATGGGCGTGTGTGTGTGTGTGTGCGACTCTTCAACTCAAAGGATTACACATGGATTAAAATTCGAAAACCATTTGCAAGTGGAATATGTGATACAAAATATTGGCTTCAATTTGAGATTAAATCTTCAATTTATAATTAAAATCCATTTTGCAACAAAACTTCTTAGACTCTAATCAGAAATTGTATTATGTCATCTAAAATTGGAACTTTTTGCACTCACTGTAGCAGTTCTCAAAAGTGCTTATAAATTCTGTCCTATATATGTATATTATATCTCAAGTCCTTTGTACAACGATCTCATCTATAATTGCAGATAAACAACTGTCAAAATGTGTGACGATGATGCGGGTGCATTGGTTATCGACAACGGTTCGGGCATGTGCAAAGCCGGCTTTGCTGGTGATGACGCCCCCCGTGCTGTATTCCCCTCGATTGTGGGTCGTCCACGCCACCAGGGTGTGATGGTGGGCATGGGTCAGAAGGATTCGTACGTGGGTGATGAGGCGCAGAGCAAGCGTGGTATTCTCACGCTCAAATATCCCATCGAGCATGGCATCATCACCAACTGGGATGACATGGAGAAGATCTGGCATCATACCTTCTACAATGAGTTGCGCGTGGCCCCCGAGGAGCATCCAGTATTATTGACAGAGGCCCCACTGAACCCCAAGGCCAATCGCGAGAAGATGACTCAGATTATGTTCGAGACCTTCAATTCGCCAGCCATGTACGTTGCCATCCAGGCTGTGCTCTCCCTGTACGCTTCCGGCCGTACCACTGGTATTGTGTTGGACTCCGGTGATGGTGTCTCCCACACTGTGCCCATCTATGAGGGCTTCGCCCTGCCCCATGCCATCCTGCGTCTGGACTTGGCCGGCCGCGACTTGACCGACTATCTGATGAAGATCCTGACCGAGCGTGGCTACTCCTTCACCACCACTGCCGAGCGTGAAATCGTGCGCGACATCAAGGAGAAGCTGTGCTATGTGGCTCTGGACTTCGAGCAGGAAATGGCCACCGCTGCCGCCTCCACCTCGCTGGAGAAGTCGTACGAGTTGCCCGATGGCCAGGTCATCACCATTGGCAACGAGCGCTTCCGTTGCCCCGAGGCTCTGTTCCAGCCCTCATTCTTGGGCATGGAGTCGTCTGGTATTCATGAGACTGTCTACAACTCGATCATGAAGTGCGATGTCGATATCCGCAAGGATCTGTATGCCAACTCTGTGCTGTCCGGCGGTACTACCATGTATCCAGGTAAAAGATTACGACTCTCCGGAATTGGGAATCCAATTTTAATATCTCTTTTATGTTAGGTATTGCTGATCGTATGCAAAAGGAGATCACCGCTCTGGCCCCATCGACTATCAAGATCAAGATCATTGCGCCACCTGAGAGAAAGTACTCCGTCTGGATTGGTGGCTCCATCCTGGCTTCTCTGTCCACCTTCCAGCAGATGTGGATCTCTAAGCAGGAATACGATGAGTCTGGTCCTGGCATTGTGCACCGCAAGTGCTTTTAAATCTTTCCCGCGCAGCGAAAGATCAACAAAGACAACAACCAGGCTAGCAAAGTCACAAACCAACACCAACGGCCGCGAGCTTTTCACCAACGCCAGCGCGCTGCACATTGGGCCAAACCAGCATAGAAGCAGAAGAAGACAAGGATAACAACAACAATCTAGCGTTACTTAATCATTATGATCAAAACAATAACAACAACAGCAACAACAACAACAAGAGGCTAACAAAACACTCTTCAAGCCATATACCCAAAAAGGAAACCAAAGAAATAATATGACCACAGGCGAATTTCACATTGAAGAACTTGTGCGTGAAATTTGCTGAAAGTGCGAGAATATTTAAATATTTTATAAACTTATCTAAACTGTATATGAATGAGCTTTTAATCGTAGTCAGTGGAATTAAAGCCAAATATATATCTTCCATTAAAACTATAAACATTTTCAATAAAGACAATTTTTTATTTCAATTACATATGCTTCTACTATATTGTTAACAACATGAATATCATTTTCGGTTTAACAATTTGTTTTTTTACATAGGTTAAATTACTGTTGTAGATATGTTTAAACATTAATCAATTAATTAATATATATAATACCAAAATACATTAAAATTTAATTGGGCAGGGGGCGGGGGGGTTGTAGCGAGGATTTACATTATTCATGTCAATGATATGAATTGATTTGGCAGTGACATTTAATGCGGGTTTAGGTAATCATGAGAGGATCTACATCTGCTGTTTCTGGCTTTTTTGGATTGGGTGTCGAAATTCCTAAGTATGAGTATTCTTGTTTCAAGTTAACGTACGTACGTATAGGTAAATTTACACATACATACATATATATAGTCATATATACATACATATAGTACACATTTAATCGTACATACAATTAATTACTTTACTAAAGTTAGTCATAGATATACAAATATTGTATAAGGCGGCATTGCACTCTGTTTAGTTAACTTAAGGTGTTACACTTTCATTAAGAATATCTGAATATCGAAGGGTTCTTTTCTATTCTATTGAAACTTCGGATATAGTAGCCTGTATACCCGAGTCAAATATTATTAGAAATTACGGAATTAAGACTTTTGTTATTCTTTTTTTTTTAATTTTTTGGTGTGATATATGTTATATGATTATCTATATATTCATATAGGTAATTCAAGCCAATTGTGCTTAGATTTTCATTTTAATTTTTTTTTTTTAATGTTAATTAGATTAACAAACTCCGTGACATGATTCCACTTAAAACACTCCTTGCTCAGAACACATAGGATTTCAATAGCATTAATTATGTAGTCTAGTGTTAGCTTCTATATTTACAATTTCTTACAATTTCTATGAATGGCAATGAAATATGCTAAATTTTTTCTTTCACTAAATTTTTGTAATTTGTTTGCATTATTATAATATTTTTTTTTTGCAGCTTTAAGTTTTTTTTTTAGGCAGTTTCTTGTCCACGTAATATTGGACATCTCATATATATTTAAAGACCCATTTATGGTCCGATTAATATAACATTTCGATGGGCGTTACTCAGCTCTCAAAAATGCCCGACTGAGATTCGAAAATACTTTATCTTTCTTTTTTGTTATTCTAAAAGTCGTTAGTAATTTAACTAGCTAACTAAATATATTTCCAGTGTAGGTCTGTACGTGTGTGCATGTGTGGGTGTGTGTGTTTGTGCTTGTATTAGTGTATAAGCATGCGTGTATATCGTTTTAATACTATTCAATTTGTATGTTTTGTGCAGTTTAGATAGTAGGTGTGGCAAAACAAACTGTTTAAATGCACTAGAGTCGAGCGACCATAATCGATTCTCATAATATAAGCACCAAAAATTCATGAGGCCCAGCCATTTGGGCAACAGCACCAATCATAGAGCATTTTGATGGGTTGGACACCTTATATATAGAGTTAATGCACAAGCATATCATAGCAACAATTCTCAAAGAAGTGAGAACATTGCATTCGGGCGTTACCACCTGCAAAATACTCATTCACATCCCATTTTCTGATTCGGCACACCCTCAATTGGTATACATGTATACAAATTCTTGTTGTGCAAATTAATAGAGGATGCTCTCAGCAATTCAGTCGCTAAGCTTTGACTTTCTAGCTCTAATACTGAAGAGAATGCAGTTATTCCAGATTTGGCACGGCTCCACTGGGCGTAGACAAATAATATTGGGCCAGTTCTTAGAACGAGCCTGAAGTAGCGTAATTAACGCATATCTAGATTGAAATCACATTATTCTAGCTCTTCACTTCTACGGACAGACGGACGGACAGCAAGACGGACATGCAGAAAGCCAATATACTCATGTCACTCTCGTGAATGAGTATGAAAACAACTGCGATTTCACTTGAGCTCACTAGCCTTGCTTACGCTGTCTCTCTATCTCTCTCTTTGTCTTTTCTTTTGAGTTTACCGTTGGTTAAAACATCTAAGGGTTGAGGCTAGTTTTGTAAACGCCCCAAGGCTCAAATCCCCCGACCAACAATAAACAAGTGAGAGTGCTCTAGTGGAGAGTGCTCCACTGGAATATACCCTAATGCAGCGACAGCTTTTCTTCTGGATAGTCCGTCCGGCAGAAAACTTAGAAAACTCTCCGGTATTCCGTGCAGCATAGGCAACTGGTTAGGCACCGAAGAAAGTATAAAGTTGTTTCGGAAATCTTCCAAAACAGCTTTATACTTACTTCGATGCCTGGCGACGCGCTTACGCTGCCCGGCATATCGGAGAGTCTTGGATGTCCATATGGAACTTTTTTGTTGACTAACTTTTCTGCTATGCATGCTTCTGCGCGAGCTCTTTGTACAAGGGGTCCAACCCATATGCTCTACTTTCAATTGCTGCGGGCGCATTATCACAGAACATCCACGTACAGTCCGGACGCGGGTGATATGTGACAGCGCCCGCAAAAGCCACCACAAAAAGCTCGTCGTGACGCCGAGGCTGTGTCGAACTGCAAATGGAATAGGATTAGTTAGGTAACTGATTGTTTTGGTTGACTCAGCGGTGAGGCTTACCCCGCGGGCTTGATGCATGACCGCACGACTGCCATACGTGTTCCACACGGTGCCCGGACGCAAGGAAAAACCCGTATGCTCCAGACTGATGGAAAAGTCTCCCTGGGGGCAATTCATGTTGCGATTGTAGCAATCGCCGGCTGATCCCAGCGCTTGGCGCTGACCCCTCGATTCCGCAAACTCGAAATCGTTCTCGATGATCCTCAGGTTGCTGATGTTCAGCCGCAGCTTCGAAAAGTGCGTCCGTCCCGAGTTCTGATCGTTGGCATACTCGTGGGCTCTCGAGGCCGGCGGACAACTGTCGATCAGCCGCGTCTTGTACTCATAGTAGATGGAATAGTTCTCCTGCGGCTTCACTGTTATATACTCTCGCGGCGTCCGACTGGTCATCTGATGGCAGTAGATGCGCACCTGCCGTGAGCCCACCTGCAGCGTGTATTCGCCATCCTTGTAGACGGAATACATTTGCTGCACATCGGCGCAGGTCTGGGCGCGGCGCACCTGCACAGCCTTCGTCTGATTGGTGCCGCTGATGCTCCTCCTCCGGCAGCTGGGCGGCGGCGTGCACTTCACCTTCGACAGTCTGCTCGTCTTGCGGTTCTTCGAGTCGTAGTAGTAGCTGCGTCGCTGCTCGTAGCCCGAGCAGTCGCACTGGAACACCAAAGCAAATCGAGTTAAGAATGATTGGTCGATAGATCGTTCTGCCTCTTACCGGTCTGGTCACCTTGGTGCGAACTCGGGCACAGTTGGTGCATATTTTCCTGTGGATCGGTCGCTTCTTGGCATCGCAGTGCCTGTCGTCCACCCTGTTGCCGGGCCACGCCTCGCAGTGCACGTACCTCGTCTGGTACTCCTCCGTGCAGTCCTTGGTGCAGCGCGTCCACTCGGACACGTCCCATTTGCAGTTGATGAAGCACTTCTTGCTGGACTTGCGCAGCGATGGCTTGCGCACGCCCAACGCCTTGCAGAACGAGTCAGCCACGTATTCGCGCCGCTTGGGCGTACCGCGCACCTCTGACTTGTAGACGCGGGCGCACTTCTGCAGCTTGCGCTTGATGCCCGAGCCGCACTCCACCGAGCACTAGGCATAGTTAATTTTGGTATATTAAATTTCGTCTCGTTTGCCGTGCCGAGCTGTGCTCCGTTCTTCTTACCTTCTCCCATTCGCTGACGTACTTGATGTGACAGCAATTGCGCGCCGCCTTGGGCATCCTATCCTTGGGGCAGTAGCCGCCATAGCTGCTCATGCAAGTCACGGTGCGGTTCATCTTGCACCAGTCGCTGCACTCGCCCCACTCTCCCGTCACCCAGGCGATCACGGAGCGTTGGTTTATCTACAGAATTATGATTTCAGATATATGTATGGCAATTGCATTTGCAGTGCGGCCTCAAATCTCACCATCGGATCCGGATAAAAGCGACAGGGCTCCATGTTGCAGGTGCGCAGCAGGTCGTTCAGTGCGTACTTGGTGCGCGGATTGCACAGTTCATCGCTAACGGGCGTATGGTTCAGATAGCAGCGCACCTCACGCACTTGGGTACCCGTGCCACAGGTCTTGGTGCACTGCATCATTGAGTGGAAATACATTATTGCATATGCCTTGTGATCAGTGCAGTTAACGGATGTCGACTTACCGTTGACCAGTCCGTGTAGTTCCAGCAGCCCTCGCGGCACTTCTCGTGGTGCACCACCTCGAACTTGGCCTGGCAGAAGGACATGTCCACGATATTCGTGCGCTGAATATCCGGGAATGTCTGGATACAGTTGAAGGTCTTCTCACGCACGCCCAGCTCCCCGCAGGCCGCGGAGCACTCCGATATGCTCGTCGTGTTCAATCTAAATGTGGATTAGGTTAGCTATCGAAGCTGAAGGTAATCCCAGTCGCCACTCACGTTAGGATGCAGTCCGTGTTGCAGCTGCGTGACTCCGCCTTCGGCTTTGCCGACTCCTCGCAGAACTGAGAGGACACCTTTAGGCCCTGGGTGGTGCTTATGCAGGTGGCCTGGCGATGCATTGTGCCCTGGCAAAGCGAGTCGCAGCTGCTCCAAGCTGGCATTTGCCAGCGATAGATCTCCACCTCTGCCTCCGCAATGAACGGCTTGTCCAAAGTGTAGGTGTACGAAATGAGCACCGTATTCTGATCCTTCGCAGCGCTCAGATCAATCGAGATGACCTAAACACCCGCAGATAATTAGCCAAACAATGCAAAACCTAATGCGACTCCCCTTACCTTGACTATGAGGTCACGGGTCAGCTTCCATGAGTAGGTGGAGTTGACGCGCTCCACGGTGCTGTTGGAGCCATTGTAATCGAGTGTCACGCCTGCATAGGTGGTCTTCTTGGGATAGGGCGTTACCACTTTGTCGTTGTTCAGCAGATTATCATGATTGTCGTTGCTCAGCACAATGTAGTTCTGATCGGGATAGCCGGGTTGTGTGATAACAATATTGGAGGCACCTGCATGAATAAAAAACAAAGCAATATACATTATACAATATATGTAATATATATATGTAATATGTATTTAAAATCACGATGCTTATCGATTTTGGATCATTCAAATATATAAGTGAGTCTACTCTAGAGGATAGATTACGACTAGTATACACCCTTGGTATGAAAATTCGACAACAACAGGTTAAAGCCGCTAGCTTTTATGGTATTTACGTTATGCCTAAAAAACGAACTAAGAGAATCGATTATTATCGATGATGAAAAAACAAATATTTCACATATTAAACGAGTTTTCGTAAAATATGAATTTAAACTAAAAAGCTAAACAAAAAGAAAGTGACAATGATATACGGAGACAAAGAGTTAGAGATAGAGAGAGACAGCTATAAAGCTGTTAAATGCAGCCCTGCCACCAACAATTAGAAAAGTCATTTCCTCTGCTAAGTAACAGAGAATGTTAAAAAAAAGGAAAACGAGTCCGATTGAACTCGATAAAAAGTGTGTAAACGATAAATCAAACACGTGTACGTGACCGGATATAAAAATTTAGCTTGTCTAAAAGTTGTTCATTAATGGTTCTCAATGAAATTGCATATGAATTTAAATACTTTGTAAATGAATGTTTCACGTGCTAATAATAAAAATTATTGATTTAGTGCAGTGTGTGTGTGTGTGTGTGTGTGCATGGAAAAGGTATGTTCGTACTGCAATTTTGTTTTTATTTTTATTATTATTTTTTTTTTTTTGATAAGAGCTTTGCAATTCAAATCAATTTTTATAGACAACTGCTGGCGACCTCCGGCTTGAGCCGGCGCCAATGCCCCGTCTGTCGATTAACCAGCAATCAGTGTGTACGTGAGGCGCCTAGGTGCACTGGGAAGATCAACAGCTGATCTGAGCCGGGAGCAGCAAGCGACACGAGTTACGTGTTCCAGCTAACAAGGTGAGTACAAAAAAAAAAAAAAAAGAAAAAAACATGCAACCACTACATGCATAAACAAGTATATACACATGTACGTACATGTTTGTATATGTGTATGTGTGCATATGTAAATTTTAGCTGATTTTTGGGCTAAGGGCGTGGCTTCCCATGACTCAATTGGGCATCAAAATTGAATTAATAAAAACTATTTAATAGCACATTAAGTCGCGCAACGCATAAACACTTACCATTAGCATTCATTCATCAAATCATTAGCCAAAAATTTTATTTTGAAATTTTTTCTACATTTTTTTTATAACTTTTGTACTCATTGGGAATGAGAATTGAAGCTATATTGATTTTGTTAGAGTGTAGGTAACAAGCATAGCTGATTATATCTAGTGTATATATTCCTGATCAATAGATAAATTTATTTACTCATGAAGTCAGAGTTCATTATGATGAATATATTTTATGAGATCCAAGTCAAGCTTTTATTTATTACATGGTTAGCTTAGGGTATCTGTTAGTCGAACAACCAACTTGTTATATTCTTAGGTTGCTTTTTTACCGCTTGACAACCAGCGAGAGTTTGTTGTTCGATAGAAGTAAGAACTTTTGTAGGTACACACCTTTTGGTATTGTCGCGACATAGAAGAGGCTCTGTGAGGGTTTCTTTTGCTTCAGCAAATCGGAGACGTACACGTTTCCGGTGTATTCCTCGCACGTATCGTTGCGTCCCTCGCAAACACCGCACTTGTCTGTATGGCAAAAAATGAATCAAATCACATTAATGACTTCAGATTTTTGACTTTAATTACGACGGCGACTAGTTACCTAGCTTGGCAATGGAGTTGAGTTCGTTGTCGCAGCCAGCCGGCCGGCAGATGCCGTTGACGCACTTGTCAAAGCTGTCCACGTTGCAGTTGGTGCCGTCCGTGACGACGTCCTTCAGCAGAAAGTAGGCGGTGTTGTCCTCAATGCGGCAATACAGCTTGCACTTGTCCATCTCATGGGTATTCACTGTAGATTGAACTGTAGATTAGGGAATGTGACTCGCTTGGCATTCGAATGCACTTACGTCCATATTTCGGCACCCACTTGGAGGAGGGGCTCACGCCCGGAATCTTCTTCTTGCCGTACATATCGTAGCACTGCTGCTCGCGCGGCTCGACGGTGCCCGGCGGACAGTTGTGGGTGTTGCAGGAGCGGTACTTCTTGCGGCTGCCCACACAGTACTTGCCCCCGTTTTCGGGCGCCGGATTGTTGCACTCACGGCGCGAGTGCTGCACGCCGCCGCCGCACGAGAGGCTACAGGGCGTGAAGGCGTCCCAGGGACCCCAGCCGCCGTGCACCACGCGCAGCCCACTGCCCGAGCGTGGCACACACTTGCCCTTCTGGCACCAGAATCCGTTCTTGCTGTTGCTGTTGCAGGGCGTGCCATCTGCCCAGGGCAAGTTGCTGGAACGGCAGAGTCCATTCGGATGCGTGTTGGCGTTGCAGAAAAGCTTCTTGCACTCCACCTCCGAGAAGCAGTGGGTGCTCTGGTTGCCATGTATTAGACGACACTGATGGTCCAGCGAATAGATCTCTCCAGGCTGCTTTTTGCTCTCTTCCCTCATGTACGAGGATGGCGTGTTCTCCAGACAGGACTTGTCCATTTTCCTAAACCGAAATCAATCAAACTTGAAATGGATCTGCTCTGTGTGCGCATTGCATAAGTACTTACTCGAGGAACTCGGAGACGTAGTGCTGCGAGCACTTGGACCATGACCACGGATACATATTGTCGCCCATGACGCTGGACATGATGTGCAGCGTGCCCGACTTCATGTTGTACGGCTTGCAGCGGTCGTCATCGTCGTGCGGCATGTTGAAGCTAAAGAGACAAAGATTGGGCTAGAATCTGGGAGTAACACTAGCAATCTCAATTGGACTCACATGTGGCCCAGTTCGTGGGCAATCGTAAAGGCGGCGGCCAGGCCATTGTCCTGCACAATGGAGCAGGAGCGAGCCTTGCACAGCGTGCCCACCTCGGCCAGGCCCAGAGTTCTGCAGCGCTCGTCTCGCTCATTGTTGCAAATCTTATCCCTGTGAATGACGAAGGGGAGAGGGATTAGTGGGGGACTACGCCGGGACTCGTAGGGTATTCCATTACCGCGTGATAAGTATGCTGGTGTCGTAGTGATAGCCTCTTCGGGCTAGATCCCCGCAGAAGCTATTGAGTTTGTCGTTGTTGGAGCTGGCATATTCGGGTCCGTTGCGTGTATCCGAGTAGACCTGGAGCAGATTGATCAGCGACAGCTTTATGGAGTAGCCAATGCTGGCATCCGCAAAGATATTCGATACGATCGAGAACAGTGTGAGAATGTAGGGCTTGAGGTCTTGGCCATGGAACTGCACCATGGTGCTGTCCACGGCAATGAGCACCTCCAGCGTGTAGACCTGACTGTCCTGATTCGGAAAGTGGCGCTTTTGCCGCGTGAGCCGCTGTGACATGCTCGCCGCCATGTCGAGCGCCGCGAGCTCCAGATCAAAATCGGAGACAGCGTGTCTAGGACTGCGCTGCGAGTGCCGCCAGACGCGATGCAAAACCTGGTCGCTGTCCGTCTGATTGACCGGCTGAATGAGCATCGTGCCGAAACTGGTTTTTATATAACCAGTCTGTGGAATAGGGGCAGGGCAGGAGTTGCATATAAGCTAATTAGTAGTCATATTCGGCGATATATTGATAAGCATAATTTGCGAAATGTTTATTTCATGCAAATGGCTTTCTGAAGGTCTCAGCTCCAGCTGATCTCAGCCACCTGGCACCTGTTCGCGCTTAGCGCTGTCATTGACTTACCATGCCGCCGCAGAGAGAGACGGCGACCGCTGATTGATTATCGCCATCCACGTAACCCTTGTAATAGCAGCCCAGAAAGTGGCCGCTCTCCTCCTCCGGCTCGTGCTTCGACTCCTCGGTGTGATTGTTCAGTATGCGAATCACTCGAAGTGTGTTCGATGGTATGAACGAGGTGTCCTGGTGCAGCATCAGGTGCAGCACCTTGCCGAACACGTGCAGCAAGTACTCCGGATGTGGATCCCAGATCTGGCTGGACTGGCTGCGGAACGTGCCCGTCATGCTGAAGGCCGAGGTCGTATCTGCAACGATGCATACATAGCCAGGCGCATTTATAGACGGTGCCTCAGCCCCAGTGTTATCGGCGAACCACTTACCCCTCAGGCTGCTGTTGCTGCTGCTGCTACTGCTGCTGCTGCTGCTGCTCTGTCGCTTCGATTCGTAGAGCATATCCTCGGCATTGAGGCTAATGTTGTGTATCTTTTGTGGCGTTACAAACCCGCTGAGATTGTCGCCCTCCGGGTATTGTAGGCTATCGAATTTGTAGCCGCTTTCCGTAACGCGTTCATCGCTCGGGTTGATAATAATCGTGTCGTTCAAAAAGTTCATGGGCTCCTCCACCTCATAGAGGCGCTTGGGACTGCTATCGCTGGGCGTGCCGCAAATGAAGAAGATAAAGAGGCCGAACAGGCTCAGCAAGAGCGCAACGCTGATCCATATTAACGCGTGCTGGCGCCAGTGTGTCGACATGTTGTGGATATTTTTATGCTTGTAGAACCACCATTCGCAGGTCTTCTTCAGCACAAGCTGCAAGAGATGCAAACACAGACACACAGTTGAGAAGAAAGTCAAAGTCAGAGGTAGAGGCAGAGCTATGGCGAGACCTAAATGCAATATCGTTTGTCGAGCTCACGATACGCTCGAAAGTTGAAAGTTAGTGGCATTCTCTCACATCTCAACGGCCGATTGCAGCGCTCGGGGCCCAGTCGGCGGCAGAGCTGGCTGACTTGGGCACGTTCCAGTCACCCGCAAATAAGTAAACACTATCATTAACAGCTTCAGATTGGCCGTTGAACCCATTGATTTGCGTGATATACACTCTGATAGAACTATTGTGTATCGATCGACTGACGGCCGGCTGCCTTGGCCATCTGTGCTGCATCATCAACAGGTTGCAAAGCAAGCGAAAATATTTCAAATATATTCAAGCATATATCAGCAGCAGTAAAAGTCTTGCCAAATAGGAGCTGTAGGTGAATATATTGCTAGAGCTAGAGCAGCTCAAGCCTCTCTCTATATATAAGCTAAAAGTTATTTGGAATTATTTGCATGTGTTGTGTCTCCCAATGTAATAAAGTGGCTGAAATTTTAAATATCGATTTATCGCCTACTCGATAATTGTAGACACGAGACTGTGTCCAGAACTACTGTTAGTCCCCATGCAGGCTGTGACTCAATAAATGGAATTTAGTCTTAACTTCGCAGCCCAGTCGCCAGCATGCTCTTCGATTCCTCTGGGCTGGCTGCAGTCAAATAATGTAATAATAATAATAAATTACGGGCTGCCCGGTGTGCCATAATGTGCGAGTGTGCCAAGAGCAAATAAATAAAATAAATAAACAAAAGAAGAGGTGGAACCGAAATGAAACGAAGCAACGGCTAAGTGCCCCGCGAGCAAACAATTTATAGATATACCTATGTATGTGATGGCTTTAATTTGTCTTGGTGGCTTTGTTGTTGTTGTTGCACCTCTTGGGCGCCGCGAATTTGTGAAATTTGTGCATTTAGCGTATCGTGATCAATGTGGCTTTTAAATGTGGTGTCGAAAATTTAATTGAAATTCGCCAAAAATATGCGCGAAATTAGTTGCCAAATCATTTTTGGCTCAATAATGACGCATTTTACATAATTTGACGGCTGCTCTGTGAACTCTGTGAACCGGCGAGGCATCTGTCAAATGGACGGACACATCGCACGTGTCTCTCCTCATTTCTTTTATGTGCGCTTTTTATTCCAAAACTGGATGCCAAGGCGCACCCGTGTCCACGGATTTCCGCTGCGTTCCGCCACAATTTACGATTATGGAAACGTAAAACCTTCAGCTCGATGACAACTCAACTCAACGCAACGCAACGCAACGCAACGCTCGTATCGCCATTGACCTTTTACGTTAGCTATT